GCCGGCCATTATCCCGGCGAGCTGATGTCTGTTTTTCCAAAAGGAGTGTCGGCCGGTAAACAGAGCCGCTCACAAAACAGGCCCCGCAGAGGGAACGGGACGGGACCCAGATGGGCCGCGGCGTGTTTTCTGAAACAACGCTGCGCCAGACCAGGAGCTGAATGGGCGGCGGGCAGCCGCTCGCCAATGACTTGACTTCTCCCTTGGTTCAGGCACCTTGCCCAAAAGGGGACGGATCCACGCAGCCCATCCTCCCGCTTCCGAGAGCTCCTTCGAGTTTCCTTGTCTAAGGCTGGGTTGGGCCGAGCCAACAAGGGATGGGACCGGGCAGTCTGCAGGGAGTCCTGGTCACACCAACCAGGGGATGCCTCGGTGCTTTGCTGGTACCCTCAGTGGGCGTAAGCTCCAAGAAAGTTGGCATAGCCTCACTGATTTATGCCAGGGGAGGACCCAACCCTCTGTGTGCTGGGCACGGGAGAGATTTAAAGGGCACTAGCGGCTGTTAGTTTAGGGACTGCGAAGAAAATGCAGCGAGGAGGCTGCAGCCTTACCTGAGTATGGCAGCAGGCAGTTGCATGTGTAGCCGGCAACGTCATCGATGCAGGTGCCCTGGTTCAGGCAGGGGTTGGAGGCACACTCGTTGATGTTGGTCTGGCAGTTGGGCCCTGCGTTGCAAAAACCAAGCAGGCGTGAGTGCATGAGCAGACCCCTGGACGGACGTTCCCTCTGCGGAAGGGGGGTAGCACGATGGGGAGCTACAGAGGCCGCGTAGGTGGTGGCCGTGACGCGCAGAAAGGTCAGACCCCGTCACAGCCTCCTGGGAAATGCTCGCTTCGCATAAGAGGCAAAACACCTACTGCTGCTGCCAGTGGTCCCTTCGCCTCAAGCTGTGCAGACCCCTTTTACCACTGAAAGTCCCAGGTGAGATCCCACCTTATGACCCATGCACCAGTGACCCACGTGCCACCACCTCTCCTGCAGCCGCTGTTCCACAAACCCAGGCATGGAAATGTTCAGTCACAGTGCTCACCCACGCCCTGTGCCACAGGGATCGAGAGCTGCGGCTTTCCCCGAGTTTAGCCCTTACCACTGAAGCCCTCCCGGCAGGTACAAATGTAGCCACTGGTCATGTCCTTGCAGGTGCCTCCATTCATGCAGGGATTGGATTCACACTCGTTGTTGTTAATGTCGCAATTGGTCCCGCTCCAGCCCGGGTCGCAATCGCACCTGTAGCTTTGGGAAGAAATCAAGGTGTAAAGCACTGCAGCCAGCTCTCAGCTTCCTCCCACACCTGGCTCAGCCTTCCTTTGTCTTTCTTTACGTAGCAAAATTAAGGTGCATGTAAGCAGACTCCAGAGTTTTTTGCTAGCACTAGATGATTTGGCAGCTAGAGAACTGGAGCCCCGGACGAAAGAAGCCCGTTAATAAAACTGCATCAATTAACGGACCAGTATTAACAAGAGCAACCAATCGCTGCTTGGGCACATTTTATTGGTGCAAGAAAGGTGCAAGGTGCAACAGCCTTTCCCATCCCAAAACCCCGGCTGGAACTGGGTTTAAGGATGCAAACGAAAGTGCCTTTGCCCAGTTTACCCAAACCATGCTGGCTGTGGGATTGCTTGGCAGTGTTTGCTCAGGACAAGCCAGGGACTTCAACAGCAGTTAGCTCTTGCATCAGAAAGGGAATCTGGTCACCAAGTCAGATGTGGAAGCCAAGGCCTGGGGGTAGCTTCACATCAAGACTTGGGTGTGTTGCCAGAGCTAAGCTGGGGCCTGAAAAATGGAACAACAATGTGATTCAGGGATTTCCTGAGGCACTAGCAGAGCTATGTGAGCAAAGACAAGTCAGCACCAGCTTGTCCTTTCTCTTACACAGATGTTGGTTCTCAACCTCGACAGACTCAAGGCCCTCCTCGGAAAATGCCAGCCCTTATCTTTCACTGGTTTCTGGACTAGGGAAAACACTGGAGCAATTCTTCTGTTGCAAAGGCCACAGCAGATCAGAACGCTTCTGACACTATGGAATCCTGTTCGAAATCCCTGGGTTTATCTTGTGGATCACGTGTAGGTGTTTGCACACCCAGGAGTATGCCACCCTTAAAAGGATTATGCGGCACCCCTAGCTGAGAATCACTGCTCTAGCCCTCCGTGGAGCCATCGGTCCCTCACCCGAATGGGTGATTAACATTCAAACAGCTTCAGTAAAGAACTCCAAGGGCCCTTTGCAGACATACCCGTTAAGTCCATCATTGCATTTCCCATGGATGCAGGGGTTGCTGTTACACTCGTTCACTTCCGACAGGCACTTGGGGTCATGGTACCCTTCGGGGCAGATGCAGGTGAAGCCATTGATGCTGTCCTTACAGGTCCCGCCATTGTGGCAGGGGTTGCTGGCGCACTCATCAATGTTAATGTTGCACATTCGCCCTGGAAAGAGTAAGTTTAGTATAAAGCATCACCGTCTTGAGCCATGATGGCATCCTGGGAGCAGTGTCATGTCGGGGGCACAGGGTGTGCAAGCACAACCCCCCTGGCTGCAATGGAAACTGCGCCTGCCTGGAAGAGTTTGACGGAGCGGGTCGAGTCTCCCAGGCACACTGTGTGCACCTGCAAGGCAATGATCACCCTCTTCGCTTACTCAGATTCACCTGCAGGGAGAGGAGGCATCTTGCAAACTCCCCTGGCTGCAGGAAGCAGAAATGAAGGGGAGCCATCTCAGCCTGTAACTCTACCTGCCGCGGCCTGATGAAAAGGCCCTATTCAAACCCTTGGGCAGGCAGCAGGACAAAGGGGCTCTGCAATGCTGCAGGTGAGCAGGGAGCCAGCCGGGGTCTGCTCATATCAAAGGACGCACGCATTTTCCAGGGGCGATCAAACAAACCAGTTCGAGGAGGCTGCAACCTGATACCCATGGGACCAACGGGAGCTGGAGCCCCATCAACAGCACGCAGTTCCCTCTTTCTAAGTCCCCCACTGCAGCAACCGGGAGTCCTGGCCTCCGCGGCCAAACGTGAAAGCTGCAGAGATTAGCGAGGGAGAATGCTGCGCCGCGCTCCTTCTCAAGAGCTTCCCGTGCACGTAGTGCCTGACATGCGAGGCACTGATGGTGCTGAGCACCTGCCCCTGGGAAGCCCACTCCCTTCATCCTCATCAGGTCCATGGAAAACAAGGCATCCCTTTGGGAAAGTCTTTCTCCAGCACCAGGCACCTGCTTCTCTTGAGGAACAAGGCTCAGCACTTGAAAGTCCCCTGATGAATGTTTCCCTGTTAAGACTGATCTCCTACCCGCAGGATGCTCTCAGAGATGGGGACTCTCCTTTTACTGCATGTGCATGCGTGCTATTGAGGGCAGTGGGGCCAGGACCCTTATGGAGGCTAGGCCCAGCCATAAGAGAAATACTAATCATTTTGTCCCGTCTTCCCCATCCCCGCCTGGCTGTGTGCTGTCAGCAAAGAGCCTGAATATGATTCCCAGACCCACCAGCCTCTGGCCTGAGCTGGCACTGGCACTGTTTATGTGACACCTCTCCTGCAGTGGCCGAAGCCAGGCCTCACCTGTGTAGCCAGGCTTGCAGGTGCACTCGTAGCTGTTAATCTTGTCTATGCACTTGCCGTAGTCGCAGGGGTTGCTAGCACAGTCGTCCAGGTTGATTTCGCAGTTGGGGCCTGAGGAAGGAGGAAATGGCACTGGAAGTTATGAGGCTGCCGGGCTCATGATAAGCTGGGAATGGGCTGGCATTGCCTGTATGCCTCCCCAATTTCTCTGCCTCCCCCATTTTCAATACACCCAGGTGAGACCCTGGTGCTGAAAGAGATCGTCACGGGGCGAGGAAAGCTAGCCATCTCCAAAGGAAACCCCCAGGCTGTTTCCACCACATGCCAGACCCCTGGAGATGGGCCCCAACCCACAGCCAGGCAGTCAGGGCCCTGCCAGCCCCTGTTCACTGCCCATGCAGAGTCTTCCATGGGTGATCCCCTCACCCGTGGTGCCTTTGAGGCACAGGCAGTTGTAGGCGTTGTTCCGGTCCTGGCAGGTGCCCCCGTTCTTGCAGGGCTGGCTCAGACACTCGTTGATGTTCACGTCACAGCGATGGCCTGTGTATCCTGGCTGGCAGAGGCAGGTGAAGGCAGCGATGCCATCCCGGCAGGTCCCATAGTGGCAGGGGTCGGGGTTGCACTCATCGATGTCGACTTCGCAGTGGGTGCCAGTGAATCCTGGTGGGGAGAGCAACTGGGGTTTAGCACGCGCTGCTCCCCATTGCGGGGAGCTATGCGATCCCTCCCTAGCAGGCTCATAAATGCCTGTGGCCCCTCTCCTGAGGCCCTGGCATGGCATGGTAGAGGGTAGGAGATGAGGAGAGTCTGAGCCTCGCTTTTCTTCCATCTACCCAACTTCCCAGGCTGCCTCAGAGCCACCCCTCTGCAAGCTGAGCCTGCGTACGTGGAACAGGCTCTGCACACGTAGTCGATCAGACGGGTCTGCGGGGAGCTGGCTGGGGAGGTGGCATCCTTGCCAGCTGCACCTGGACATAGCTGGGATGGGAGCCAAGCTGAGGAAGCGGTTTGCTCCTCTATGCACTCTCTGCCCCTCTAGGTACCTATCTGCCCCCTCCGTGTAGTGCCCGGGCACCTCACATCCTTTAGGGCACTCATCTTTGTGGCAGCCTTGGACAGGAGGGCAGTGGCCTCATCCCTCGTACAAGTTTGGGGACATCTTATCCTCAGTGGAAGGCCCCGGTAGAAGACCTTGCAGGTGGGGGCCCAGGGTAGCACTCGCAGCCAGAGAAAGCAGCGCGGAGAGCTCCCATCCATCCTTGCGAGCGCCCCCCTCTCCCCGGCCAGGCTCCCCCAACGTCAGCTGGAGCGCGAGCCCGGAGGAGTCAATGGGGCCTGGCGGGAGAATGCAGCCAGCGCGCGGAGAACAAAAGCCGCTCCCTGGCGCTCCAACTGAAGCCGCTTTCAGAGCCAGGACGGCTGTGCTTTGTCCCGGCGAGGCACAATGACGGGCATTAAGCTCGCTCCATGCGGGAGCCGGCCCCTGCACCCGCCAGCCTGCCTCCCAGCGGCACTCGTCACGGGATCCGACGGGGAGGAGGGGGCCGCGCGCACCCCAGGAGAATAGCGCGCCCCTGCTCCACTCCCAGGAGCCCCGGGGGTGGGGAGCGGAGCACAAAGTACAGCTTTGACGACCCTCCATGAAACCCACATAGCAGCTTTTCATCGGGGCTTGGCATTCACAGGACACTAATTAGAGGCCATTCAGCTGGAAGGTTTCTGGCGGGAGCTGCTCCACAAAAGAGCCAGTGTGCGCCACTGGGGCGCCTGTCATCATTTTGTCCAGCCGCTCCTCCAAGCTCACTCGTCGGGCCCGCGGTGCCCGCGCCTTGCTTCCAGCACAGCGGCTGCTTTATGTCCCGGCTCCTGTCGCACCCAGAGGCGGGGGTGTTAGCGAGCGGGAGAGCAGAGGCCCCGAGCAACTGCTTTCGGACGGGCTGGACTCTGGCTGCATTACCAGGGCCATGCTGGGATCGGTGCCCTATAGCGCCAGGCCCTGCACAGGCACAAGGGACCAGAGCAGTCTGGGCCACACTGAGCTGATCGCCTGAACATGAGCTGCTACAAGGCTGGAGAGAAAGCCAAGTCCATCCCAGGGCTGCTAGACCCTTGGACCAAGTGTGTCAAACCCCTTTGCACCCATCAAGGGCTGGGCTTGGGGCTGTGAAACACGGGGGCAGAATTCCCCATGGTGAACTGGACCGGTCCCATGGGATTTGAGGCAATGGGCGATGGGTCCAGGGTCTTTCCCAGAGTCACAAGGCCAGGAAGGAGACCAAGGAGTCTCTTCCCAGCCTCCTTCCCATGGGCAACACCGCCAGGCCCTCGCCACCACGGCCGCCTCTCACCTTCGGTGCACTCGCAGGTGTAGGTGTTGGGCCCGTCCACACACTTAGCCCCGTTTCTGCAGGGCGTGCTGGCACACTCATCGATGTCATACTGGCACAGGTGCCCATTGAAGCCTGGGGGAGGATAAGACAAGAGAGAGGGGTCATTTGCACCATGCTGATGGGTTGGGTGGGATACAGAGAGGCCAAAGCCCGCACGAGCACTAGGTGCAGGTCAGACAGCCCGGATGGACACAGGGCTCCTCCAGCCTCGGCATCAGCCCATCTCAGAGGTGAAGCTCCCGAGGACCCAGCCCGGGTGTGGACGAGAGCTCCCGAGGTGCAGGGGGTGGTGGGAGCGTGCCCCGCCAGGCCGGCGGGCGTGCGAGTCCGGCTCCACGGGCAGTTCTGGGGGACGCCCCTCGACTTTCCTGACGATCAAAGTCTGTCTCAAGCCCGGAGCCGGGGCTGCAATCCCACATTTTCCACCCCAGGCTGCGGGTTCCCATAGAGACGCTGCGCGGGGAGGTGAATGGGGGGCTGTGACCCAGCATTGAGAACATCTTATTTACATCTCTAGAGGAGCAAAGCCTCTGAACTTCAAAACTTCCTTTCACAGATTAGCCGGCTCCCCATTCTCCGCTCTCCCCCGTGACTTTGACACCTCATTCAAACCCGCTGCAGGCCCAGCTCCCTGCCCCCCACCAAATGGGGCCTTTTCAAGTGCAAAGTTGGGGAGGGGGTATTAATCCTCATGCACTCTCCTTCTCCCTCACTGAGAGCTGGAAGGGCCTCAAATGGCTGGACCGCGATTCCCTTTCCCATCCCCACAGCCCTACGCTGGCAGCAGGAGTGAGACGAAGGGTGCTCAGCTGGGGGTTGCTGGCAGGGAGCCCCCGTGCCCCTTCTTTCAGCTGGATCTGCCACGCAGAAGGCCTGACTTCTTCACTAGGACAGAGGCAGGCTGATAGTCCTCACAACTCATGGGCACGGCTATGCCCACATCAGGGTCCACCTGCCTCTAAAGGAGATCCGCCTCACAGCATGGGGGCTATGACACACAGGAGAATGGTTCCAAGTCCACCCACACACATCCACACTCGGTAGATCCACATTCAGTAGATCATCCACCTTCGTCAGATCACCCACATCCACATTCGGTAGATTTAGGGGTTCCCTGCAAGGCAGGGAGCAAAGGACATATGGGGCTCCTTTATGTCCTTTGCTCCCTGCCTTGCAGGGAACCCCTAAATCTACTGAAGTCTCCCCAGAACGAGCTATCAGGATGACTGGGGGGATTTCTAGGTGGGAGAGACTTCCTTGGTGCTTCTTCTCCCCCCCATAACACATCCTGAGTGCAGGGAGAGAGAGGCAGCATGCTCCTTTGGCCCCCGCTATGTTTGAGTGAGTGGGCTGGCACCGCCAAAGCTGGAGGCTTTGAATGAAAGGAGAGCCCTCCCCCCCGCCCCACTCCGGAGAGCTGCCCTGCCCTGCGGCGCCTGGATCCGTCCGCCCGGCGCTGCCTCCGGCAGGGGATTACTTCCAGCTTTGCTCCCACTACAAAGGCTGCTGCCGGCGGCAAAGCGATCGATCCCCGTACCTGTGGGGCACTCGCAGTGGAACTCGTTGATCTTGTCGATGCAGTTCCCGTTGTGCTGGCAGGGGCCGCTGGCGCACTCATCCGTGTTGATCTCGCAGTAGATGCCCTCGTACCCTGCGAGCGACAGACCCATGGCCCCTCTTAGAGTCTGCAGGGCCACAGCCCGGGGGTGGAGGGGAGACCACTCAGCTGCGCCAGGCCTGGGGTCGGCTCGCGGTGCTGATGGGCTGGGTGGAGGGAGAGCAGCCCGCTCTGCTGCAAGGTATGCACCTACTGCTCCCCTAGCAGAGCAGGGTCAGAGTGGACTTGACCCCATGCCCGCTGGGAGAGGGGATGGCTGATGGGGTGAGGGAGAGGCCTTCTCTATGGGCCAGTTAGCTCATCTTTGCATTTAGCTCCCTCCCTGGAAGCAGCTGGCTTTGGCCATTTTCCCACAGGCCCTGGACTAAAGGGTTTCCCGGTCTGATCCTTGCTGGCTGCACACCCTGGGCCCTTCCCAGTTCCCCTGTCCCTGCCGTGCTCCCAGGCCCATGCCATCTCCATGCAAGGTTTCTTTACTGAATGCAAAACCAGTGCCGGAGGGCAAGCTGCTTCTGAGTTTCATCTGTCAACAAACCAGCGGCAGGACAGGCCAGCCAGCTCCGCATGGGCCTGCTGAGGTCCCTCACCTGCCAACGGCCTTTGGATCAGACCCTCAGGGCCCAACCAGTTCACCTGGGTTGGGGCAGGACTGGCCTTCGAGGCTGGTTCTCAGGTTTAGCTATGCAACCCCAGCTGGAGGGGGGACCAGCACCCAGCCAGGACGGCTGCTGTGAAAGCCTCAACTAGCCACAGCCCCTAGACCCCATCAAACCACTGATGGCAAGTTTGAAAACATGTGGATTGCGGTGCCAAGGCATCCTCACTGCTAAGCCATGGCCCCGATTCCACACTTGAACTTGAATGCACGGACTTGCCCAGACCAAAGCTCCAGAGGCAACGGCAGGGTCTTGGCTTAGGGGAGAGAACAAGGCTGGCCCAGGTGCCCACCTGGCATGCAGATGCACTGGAACTCGCCGATCTGATCCAGGCAGGTGGCATCGTTCTGGCAGGGGTTGGAGAGGCACTCGTTGACATCGATCTCGCAGCGGGGGCCCGAGTACCCCTGGAGACACTGGCACTGGAAGGAGCCCTGCGTGTTGATGCATTTCCCAGCGTGCTCACAGGGGTTGGCTCCTACCAATAAGAAACACCTTGGATAAAAGCGTCTAGGATGCTTGCAACTGTGAGGTCTAGGATCTCCAGCTACATTGTGTGATGCCCTCCCCACCCCCGTGCCAGTCTCAGCTGCCCAGCAGCCCATGCACATACCCAGGGAGCACTCGTCCACGTCCTGGTTGCAGGCCGGACCCATGTAGCCGGAGGGGCAGGTGCAGATGGCTTTGCCGTTGACAGGGTTGGTGTCACAGTTGGAGCCCTCATTGCAGGGGTTGCTGATACAGGCATCGTCCAGATGGCACAGCAAGCCTGCAGAGTACAGCACATCAGCATCTCAGGACAGACCCACGTGTGCCCCAGGCTCAGGTGCAAGCATTGTGGCAGTGCCCAGAGGCCGGCTCAGCACCCAGGCCCTGCTGTGCATGGCATGGGACATATCCCTGCCCAAAGAGCTACAGTTTAAATAGAAGGGAATGGATAAAGGGTGGGAGGGGAAACTGAGGAAACCCAATGTCACCCAGGCCAAGCCAGGGAGAAGAACCCAGGTGTCCCAGGACCTTCCTGCTCTGTCTGGCTGCAGACAGAGGGTCAAATTCTTCCCTGAGGGAACCCCCCTGCCTCCAGCAGACCTATCCCAGAGCTCAGGATTATAGAGCAGTGGTCAGCCGCCCGAGCTGGCCCTCACCTGTGCGGCCGTGCGGGCACTCGCAGTAGAAGGAGGCCACGCGGTCATGACACGTGGCACCCTGGAAGCAAGCAGCCATGGCACAGTCGTCGATGTTCTCGCTGCAGTCCTCGCCAGTCCAGCCATTGACGCAGACGCAGTTGTAGCCACCGTGGTTGTTGTGGCAGGTGCCCCCGTTCTGGCAGGCATTCGGCATCAGCTGGCACTCGTCCACATCCTCAGTGCAGTACTGGCCTGCGGGGCAGGGATGGTGGCACACCGGTGAGGCCTGACATATTAACATGGGGCACCCCACTCATGTGCTCCTGGGCAGATGCTGGGCATCCTCCAGTGGGGTCAGGAAGGATTCTTCCTGCCCCCCGTGACATGGGCAGCCTGCCCAGAGACAAGGCAAGGGGCCTTTCCCCACCCTCTGCAGCATGGCTGGAGGCAGGAGATGACTCAAAATCTGACCTAGGTGGATTGCTGGGTGGATTTGTTCCCTTTCCAGCTCATGAAAATGCTGCCATGTGTCTCAGCTGGAGCCAAGTCAGTCTCCTGCTGCCCAGACTCTGTGCTTGCCCCTACCCCCACCCAGGCCTGCATGCTCTCCGTATCCCAGCGGTACCTGTCCACTCGGGAGGGCACTGGCAGTTGTAGGTATTGACTCCATCCACGCAGGTACCACCATTCTTGCAGTTGTTCCCAGGGCAGTCGTCGATGTTCTCCTCGCAGTTCTGCCCGGCGAAGCCTGGAGGAGGAAAGGAGGCATCTAAACCAGCCGGCCTCGCGATGCAGCAGTGCTGGCTGCTACATGCGATCTCCGGCTGCACAAGGAGTGCGTGGGGCTGTTTGCAGGCTCACGCCTTAAGATACACATCGGTTGCCCCTGACCAAGGGGAATCGGGTTGGATACAGGGTTTGGGGTCAGCTCCATCCAGCAACGTGCCCTACTCCACTATAAACACTTTGCCATAAGCTGCTACTTGGCTCTGCTCTGGGGCATGCGGCTTCTCACGGAGCCCGTATATCAAATGGGGACCTAATGGCATTACCGTGGCTTGAGACCCATCAAGATCAGGCCTACCCTGCGTGACTTCAGCCTACCTATTCAATCGGGGCCGGTCACCACCTGATGGCTGTGGCTCAGCCCGGTTCGGGGAAGCCGCAGGTGCAAGGGTCAGTGCCAGGCCCTGCTCTGCCCCGGTGCTCCAGAGGCACCAGCCTCGAGAGAGAGCACCCAGCTAACGATTCATCTAGTGCAATAACGAACATGCAAACCTCGTGGTGCAGGTGCCAGCGAGCTGCCCCGGGGCAGGCCGGCCGCTGCAGTTACTGATTAACGTGCGCAGCCCGTCAGAGCTTCTCTCCCCGGCTTTGAAGAAAGCCGCTGCATTTCATCTTTGCCCCGGCTGCCTTCGCAGGCTTACTGATGAGAAGCAGGTTCATTGCAACAAAGCGCACACGCTCTCACTAACCGCGGGCATTAGCCAAGCTGCAGCCCCCAGGGCCACAGGATGAGCCCTTCCATGAGCCAGGCCTGCCTGGCAGAGGTGCCCCAGCTCCTATCCGTTTGGCTGGGGCTGATGAAACAGGACTCGATCCCGGAGATGCTTAAACTGAGGTGTGCACCGGCCTGACTCCAGCCTTAGGCTGAGGCTCTTCTCTTCTGCATCCCCTTCATCCAACGGCAGAACCCATGCAAGCGGTTCTGACCTCTCCGTGCTCCCGGGGATGCACAGATCCTAGGGGTGGACCTGTCTGGCAGTCACCTTCCCCCCAGTGCCCGAACGTTTTCAGCAGGTGCTTGTCCTTGTTAGGAGGTGAAGTACGATATTGACTGTAAACAGCCTGCAGCACAGCCAGGGCTGCAGGGAGCTGGGGCCAGACTGAAGCTGCACTCTGCAGGTGCAGGAAGATCCTGCCTCCGGTTTGCACTCAAACAGGTTTCCCTAAACCGGCGTGCTGAGTCAGCAGTGGCTTGTGCCAAGCGCTGTATTTTAACTAGGTGGCCACTGGCTTAAACCTGCCACAACCAGCTGCACAACCTAACTGGGACTCACTGGGTATCCAAAAGGCTGCTCTGCACAGGCAAGGAGGCTGGAGAACAGGTCAGGCTAGGGATGTCCGAGCTTCAGAGGAGGATAGGGCCAGAGGCCAGTCTCCTGCATGTGTTGCGCTAATACTCGGCTTCATTTCATTGTGCCAGCAAAGACCCCGGCCACAGCCCCCAGACAGCCGTGCTTTGCTTTCCTTGCTGCTGCTTCATCCAGGCAAGTACTCTTCAAGGGGCAGGCTTTCTAAAGGGTTGCCTATCCCACCAAACCCCTTCTGCAGTGTCCCTGACAGGCCCAGAGATGCACATTAGCTCGATCACCCCTGGTTTACACCCCACAGACCCGAGGCATGGACGCTGAGGCCAGAGACTAGAGTGAGGGGGAGTGACAGGCAGGATTAGAACTCAGGACCCACTGGCTCCCAGCCCCGGGCTCGTCCCGCATCTCTCTATCAATGACGGCCTTGTTCTCCTCCCTCCAGCGCCCAGCCTGGCCCGTATGTAAAGCAATAACCAACTATTTATGGTTGCTGGGACCAGTCCAAAGCAGATAAGGTTGATTCACTCCTCGTTTTTAAGCAGCTGAATGGCAATAGCTTGCAGCGTTCCCGATACCGGGATTAACTCCTTTTGAACCAGCTGAATGAGTTATGAGCACGGCAGCTGCTTTAAATGCAAGGTTACGTGCGGCAGAGCTGGCTCGATAGCTCAGATGAGATTGGCCTGGCTCTCAGGAGCCCCGAGCCCACAGGCCTCTCCGGACGCTGAAAGGGGACATTGTTTGACACCCTGCCATGCTGCATACCGGTACATCAAGCGGTATCTTATCACGAGAAACGGCCTCCAATCCTACAGGTCCCTGCCAGAAACGGAGAGCGTGCTTGCCGTGCCAGACACGTCTCAGCAGGGCCTCATCCGTGAGAGGTGCTGAGGTCCATCCGTGAGAGGCACCTGGCCCCAAAGAGCGGTCAGCAATAAGCTGTGGCCATGTTTGACCCCTGGCAAAGCAGTTCAGTGCCTTGCGGCCATGGCTGCGGGTCCCAGAGCCCAGGCTCTCCTGTCCTGTCCTGTCCAGCCAGAGGCCAAGAGGACCCATTGCCCCAAAGCAGTGCATGTGCCACTTGGGTCCCTGCACCATCATCCCTCTCCTCTCTCACAGGCCCTTGCTGGGCCAACTCACCCCCTGCCCGGCAGACGCCATGGAGCTGCCTGCTTCCCATGGGTGTTCCCGCTGCTCACAGACATGGACAGCATCCTTCTCCCCATTTTACAGAAGAAGCCACTGAGGCCACAAAGCAAGCCAGGAGAGGGGGCAGGGCTGAAAAGCAGGAGGTCCCAAGACCCTATTCTCTGCTCTCATCACTAACCGTGGTGGTTTGCTGGTAACAACAGGAAGCTGCAAACCCTCGGGCCTCCCCTTGCACCCATCAAAGACTTCCCAGGCGCCTCCGGCAGCCAGTACTGCCTTTCCCAGGGAGAGGGCAGATGCTTCCTCTTGCTGGGTCTGCTAGAGGCAGGTGGAGGAGGCCGGTCGGAGGGAGAAGTGAGATGCCATCGGGCTGTTGGCAGGCAGGAAACTCCCTTGCTGCCTTGCTCTGGTTTTCGGGGTTCCCTGCACTGACGGGGAGGAAGCTGGGGAGGTGTCTCACGTGGCTGAGCCAGGTTATACCTGTTCTCCCCCAGCCACAAACTCTGACCACAGCGCTGCACGGTGATGGAAACAAAAGGTCCCCCTGAGGTCAGGGACGTGGATGGGCCAGCTCAGCCCCTGCCCCGGCTCCAGGGGACCTCGTGGCACTGCAGTGGGGCTTGGCTCCAGTAAACAGGGATGAATTCTTCCCGCTCGGTCCCTTCCCTTCCTTCTCCTCCAAGACCCCCTCCTTCTGCAGCCTTTTCTTCAAAGCCTGGAGCCCCAAAACTCCTGCCTCTGGGGCAGCTATCCCCTCCTGTCCCTGCTCACACAGAAGGGGCCGATGCAGGTGTGATCCAGCTGCTCAGCCGAGAGCACCGAGCCAGCTTCCCTGCTCCAACACGGGCGTCTGGCACTTGCATCCTCCTATGTATGTCTCTGCAGAACAACCCTGTGAGGCAGGGAAGGGCTGAGTTCCCTCCTTTCAAAGGGGGACCTGAGGCAGAGACACACGAAGTGGAAGATTTCTAACAGGATTTAGCTTCTCAGCTACCCTTGTGAAACCAGAGCCCAACCCTCAAGGACTCTCCAAGGTCTCTCGATGAGTCAGTGGCAGGGCACTGCCCAGCCCGGAGCTGGTGACCCACGGCCCATCCGAGCGAGCAGGCACGTACCTGGGAGGCAGGTGCAGTCGTAGGTGGTGTCGCCGGTCTGGCGGCAGGTGCCACCATTCTGGCAGGGCGAGGGGTTGCAGGGCACGTAGAGGAGCTCGCAGTTCTGGCCAGTGTAGGCAGGCTTACAGGAGCACTGGTAGGTCCCGACCTCATTGGTGCAGATGCCGCCGTTCTTGCAGACGGGAGTCGAGAGGCTGCACTCGTTCACGTCCTGCTTGCAGTTGGCCCCATGGAAGCCAGCCGTGCACTTGCAGATGTAGTGGGCCTCGAAGGGGACGCACTGCCCACCATTGGCGCAGGGGTTGGAGGCGCAGGGGTCAGCCTGCTGGCAGCTCTTACCTGGGGGCGAGCAGAGAAGATGGGCATGGGAATGGCCCTTCTCAAGGCCTTCTGCACTGAGGAACCCCAGACAGCTGCAACTCCGGGGCCCTGTCACCGCATCCCCGCTAGAATCCACCATCAACTGAGGCCTCTTGCATTCATTCATCCCTGCTCAGGCAGCACCCCGGCCGCAGCAGGAAGCCCTGGCACCTTGCACATAGATGACGGACAAGCCCACACACTAACTAAGACCTACAACATCCATGCAAGGCATGCGAGACAGCAGCTGCAGCCCTTGTTGCCTGTACCACAGCCTGCAACTCCAGGGCAGGGAGGAGATTTAGGTCTGGGAGCAGTGCCCTCAGGCAGTGAGATGCAGGGGGCAGTGCCCAGCATCTCTCTGCCAGGCCCCATCACCCTTGATTAAGTAGTGGCCTCCAGGCTGCGAGGAGAGTCTTCTTAGCAAGCAAGACAGGGGCTGTGCCAAACCCACGGCCCCCAGTCTCTGCGCTGAGGGCGACTTGGCACTGAAGCTGCCCTGCTCTGTGCTGGGCTCTAACCCAGCTCCCCCGGGCGCTGCTGTCTCCTGGCCCTACCTGACCATCCGGGCGGGCAGCGGCACTTGTACTCGGTGAGGGTGAGAAGGTCGCAGGTGCCCCCGTTGCGGCAGGGGTTGTTGAGACAGGCGTTCTCCTCGGGTGTCAGGCACAGGCTGTCAGTGAAGCCCAGCCGGCACGTGCAGGTGTAGTCCGCGGTGCTGCCACGCACGACGGGGTGGCAGGTCCCGGCGTTCTTGCAGGGGGAGCTGAGGCAGGGGTTGGGCAGCTGGCACCGCTCGCCCACGTGGGCGACGTTACATCTGGGGAGAGCAAAGGACAGTGAGTCAGAGCCACCTGTGACCCCCAGAGACAGCAAGGGCACACTTCTCATCCCCAAATTCTCTGGGGATAAGGCAATGGGGGAGCTCTTGGACAGGCCAGATACTCTAAGAGCCAAGGGTGGTCCAGGCTGTGCAGGCAGGTGCTGGAAGTACCCAGCCCTGGGCACATCCCCTGGTAACTGCCAGGGTACAAAAAGTGAAGTCACAGCTGGACCCATGACCCCAGAGGGGCATCTCCAGCCTGTAGCAGTGGATGCGGGATCTGCAGGGCTAGTGAATGCCCAGGAAGCACTCTGCAGTGCTCGGGCACGGCGCAGCCTGCACCAGCTCCAAAGGACAAGGTGCTATTTTCCTGCAGCCGGACACCCAGACAGGCCCAGCTGCAGCCTCGAGGGGACTGAATGCATGCCGGTGATGCATTCAGGAAGGGGGAAGTGGTGAGCTCTATCTAGAGGTTCCCACCTCCCATCTTGCTATCTAGCGACAAGGCTTTGGGACGGGAGTTTGCCCCTCCTGCTCCAGCCCTCGCCTGCAGCACCCAGCTGCCTTATCTCTGGATGAGCTCTGCATGCGTGGTCACAGTTCCTTTCTCCCCCATCACATCTCTCTCTGGGCATCTCAGATGTCCCCTGTGCCCTGTGTTAAGGAGAATTGGGGCCTGCAGCCTACAGAGCTGCCAGCTCTCCAGGAGGCCTCTGGCTTTGCAGGAATCTCTTTCCCAGTCCCGCTGTGCTGACCCCACTCGGTCCGTTGCCACCTGTCCCCAGCATTTTCCAGAGTGCAGGCATGCCATAAATCACCCGGACTGCAAAGCGGGGAAGAAGGCCTTCCACCCCGCCTCGCCAAGTAGATAAAAGCCTGGGATCAGTGAGAACTGCCCTTCCCAAACCACCCGAGCAGGGAGAACGGGGAAGGCAGGATGAACTCCAGCCCCTTGCCCTGCCCCCAATCAATATCCGAGCTGTCAGGGGCTGTTTCTTAGGGGGAAACTGTCTGTGAATGCCAGCCTGTGAGCCAGACCCGCCAGGCACTGACACAGCTGATACCTAGGTGTGAGATGTGCTCCTCTCCAAGCAAGATCCCTCCCTGTGCAGAGGCAGCAAAACGTGCTACATAAGCCCTGCTCTGAGCCTCATGCCAGCTCCTCTGCACGGGGCTGAATTTCACCCTAAGAGAGGAGGCAAGGATTCAAAAGCAGGCACTAACCCGCCCCACCCAGGGAGCATGCGGGGACCTGCAGGGAGACAGCACCTTGCGCTGGCTCTGTGCTTTTCATCGGCAGATCTCAAAGGAGCTCAGGGACACTGCAGACGGGGGAATGGAGGCACGGAGTTTCCCAAGGTCACATCCACCCAGGCCAGTGGCCGAGGGCTTATAGGACCCAGGGGTCCATGTACACACCACGATATTAGCCCTTTCACGCACTGCAACTGCGTGTCTGTTTGCACGAGCGGGATTTCCCAAAGTTTTAAAAGTCCTTAAAAGTCCTGAGACCCAGCTCAATGCTCTGCCCACTGGGCTGACAAGCTTTGAACAATCCAGTTTGCAACTGTAAGGCCCCAGCAGGGTTGGCACAGTGCTCCCAGGGCCCTCTTCGGGGCAGACTGAGTCCCTGCCCTTCCCTGAATTATGAGGCTGATCTGAAGATGCCTGCTCTCAAAATGCCCACCTAGGCTTTCAGGGCCAGTCCCACTGTTGTCCAAAGGCTGCGGCCACTTGCGGCTAGAGAGGGGATGGGAAGGAACCGCTTCATCGGGGCTGTGGTGTTTTCTGGCAAACTGAGCACTCTGACCGTGCATGGGGCAGCGCCTGCCTGAGTAATGCCAGCTACAACAACAGGACCCAGCTTAGCATCCCAGCGCTGCGTGCACTCAGACGTTTGGATGGAACAGGGCCAAGGAGGGCTGCAAAAGCCCCCGCCTCAGAAATGCTCTGGCTCTGTAAGGGGCCACCCATTATCCTACCCTCCGCAGCATCCCGTGGCCCAGCAGAAGCCAGTCAGACCTGTCTCTCCCTCCAGTACACAAATCTCTGGGTAACAGGTGTGGCGGGGATACGCTTCCTCAGACATCCCTGGCTTTCTAAACAGCTGCCCAGATCCTCCTTGTAAATAAGCCCTTCCCAAAGTTATTCTCTGCACCAGGGGAGGGCCCTGCCTCCCAAACACACAAGCCTGATCTTTATCTCTGCACAACGGCCTTTAAAAAGAAAAGAAAAAGACCCATGAAATGGCCACTGGCTCGGCCATCTGTTACCAGAAGCCAAAAGGTCCGAGCCAACTGGCTGCTGAAAAAACAAGCCAGGTGCTGGGAAAGGGGAACGTGCTGCTCAGGGAGAGCATTTACTGCCGTAGCACTGGGAAGGGAGGGGGCGAGGGGGGGGAACGGTGAGGGGCCCTGGAGCAAGAAGGAGACAAGGGCCATGCAGCTTAGTCCCTCATGCTACGCAGACCCCTCAAAACCCCCCAGGATGCCATACGGGGCTGAGGAATGGGGGCAAGACTGTGCCCTAAGCAAACGTGGGTACGGCTCTGCAGTCCCCAGACCCCCTTGGTGCCACGGGTTAATGCATGCCCCGGAAGAAACCGCCTCTCTGAGGAGCCAAGGGGGTGGCGACAGTCCGTGCTGCCTCTTGTCCCCACCCCGAAAGTGCTTCCAAGAGCCTCCCTGCACCCCATCGTCCCACATCCCAAAAGAGAAGGGGGAACAACGTGCTATCCGGGGCTACGCCTGGCCCCTGCTGTCCAGTTCCACCTCCAAGGTCTTTCCTGCATCAGGTTATTCGGCAACAGTCAAGGGCATGCCATAAAGACACAAGCCCTGGGGAAAGGGTTTGATTTCACAGGGTGGGCGGCCAGTCGCTGTCACCCACTCACCCTGGTCCAGAGCTCGGACAACTGGCTGGGCAAGAGGGCAGGCGGGCACCTCTCCTTTCCTCTACCCTGTTCCTGGGCACCCCCAGCATCCTTCTTTGGCCAGGTTTGCTCCCCTATTGTGTCCTGCCTGACTTACAAGCTCCCTTAGGGACGAGTGGGATTTTCCGGGCGCTACTGTGCACAAGCTAAATTGTCACCGACAGGCATATTTAGCAGCTCCGAGCTGCCGGGAGCCTCCCGTTTGCTGAAGGATGGAGGATCAGGCCCTTAGAAGCACCCTGAGCTGAACCACCTTCCCCTCCTGAATACAGGACCGCTCCACGAAGCCTTGTCATGACACGGCACTAGAGTCCCGGTCAGACCACAAGCAGCCCAAGAGTTTCAGAAACACCGGCCGAGACGATGACTCCTCCAGCGACTCGGGGCCGCTTGAAAACCCAGGGCCCCGGGAGCCACTCGAACGGCAGAGAGAGGCAGGAACACATTGAGAGCTTGCATCCTGCCGTCCCCCCTCCTTTTTTAACCCAATTCTGCTGGCATTGTTGGGGTTTGTGTGAGAATTTGTCAGGATTCGGAGACATTTTGAGTTAATGAGATGGCATTATCCCGGCCAAATGAAAAAGAAAATGTGTATAATAATAAATCAGGGCATCTGCTGGACACACAAAGGGCTGTGCAGAGCAGGTGTGCATCTTAATGAGGGGACGGCAGCTGCTGCGTGCCCCGCCGGCCAATAAACTGCCAGGGCTGCCTGGGGTGGGCAGGGGGGGCACAGCTCGGGGACCGGCGAGAGAAGTGGACTTCTGGGTGGCTGCACTGCATCCCTGCGCTGGGGAATTCAAACAGGCTGGGTTTGAAGCCTGCTGTTCTGATGAGAGAGGCCTTTGTGCCGCGCTCCCCTCCTCTCCATCCCAGAGGGCCGGCGGAGGCACGCCGAGTGTAAACTGCTAAAGTGTGCAGTCATCTGTTAAAAAACCACCATTTTTCCTCCCCCCCACCGCAACCACCCCTGTTTCTTTCTTTCTTTTTTTTTTTAAACAATCCTCTGAGCTTTCGCAGTTGCTTGCAACAAGTGTCGAGGAGTCTCGGGCTGCATTCAGCCTGGCCAGGAAGAGACAAAAACCCCGATGCGCTGCGTATGAAAGAGAGAGAGGGAGGAAAATGAGGAAGGGGAGGGGGGGGAAGAAAAGAAAATAGACTGTCGCTAGGAAAATGCTGTGAAACAGTCTCCGGCTCGCCTAGCGGTGCCTTCATGTGCACGACTCCCGCGGCGCCTCAATGGGGCTGGCGGGGGGGTGGAGGATTTTGTAGCTAGGGATGAACTGAATTGCAACGACCAATTCATCCTAAGAGGCATCTTGGAAACTAGCTTCCTGCTACTGCCAGCCGCCCTCCCCTTGGCACTCAACTCGGTCCCGGGGTTAACTGCATCAGGAGGGATTTTGGTCTTGCTGGTGCCCGGTAATTCTGCAACTGGGATTCTGCGCCGTGCGTGGCGGGGCCGGGTTGGGGTTTTTAATAAGGCTTACAGGAAAACCCTTGGGAGAAGAGCCCACCCACGCAATTAGCTTTCGGACCATTTCCAGTTTCGATTGTCGTTAGCAGCATTTCAAGAAGCCGGGGCCAGACAAATTCAGGCCAGAAATGTCACGGGGTTTTGAAAGCGGGGGTGTTAATTAGCATACCTAGGGGCGCGAGAGAGCCTGTCATCGGCAGACCTCAGCTCAAGTTTTGCTGTGCTTCTAAAGGAGCGGCTCTGGCTCCATCAGCAGTTCGGGGCTTGATACAGGAGCCACCTGATGCAATCCAGTGGCCTGTGACAGGCAGGAGGGCAAACTAGAAGGGTCCCCGTTGGTCCTAAACCTCCACGGAAACTAATACCGTGGAAATGCTCGAGGGTCTCTAAAGTTTACGCAGCTTATTCTCAGCCAATACGTGTCTCGGCTTAGATCACTACCAATACTGCACATCATTAGCAGTGCGGGAAGGTTTGACGCTACAGGAAGTTTTAAAACCCTGTGGGTTTTCACACTCTTGGTTTTTACCCCAGCGTTTTTCTACACTGAAGACAATAAAACCACCGTCACAACCCATTTATTGCCAG